GTACCCTGGGGGTCAAAATTGCCCTCAGTTGAGAACCGCTGGACTAAGATGACTTCCAAATACTTACTACAACTCTTCATATTTTTTTCTTTTTTGTGAGGAGGATTCTTTTTTTCTACAAGGGCGATTGTATAAGGATCAAGTGAGAGAATTCATAAAAGTAGTTTGAAGGAGACTGCACAGTTGTTCAGCCTTATGTTGGTATTTTTCATTTTAAGATGCAGTATAAAGTTTAGTTGTAGGATGACTGGCAGATTCCTGTCCTCCAGAACCACCTCCCTTTCCCCCCATCAAGACTCTCACCTTTTGGGGTTCATAGACCCTTAAGGGATGTGAAGGTAGTATATTTCCAAATGATTGGTTTTCTCTATAAATAATTTATTTCATGCATTTAAAAAATTCATTTTCTCATACATGTATTTGTTTTATGCATTTTAAATATTTGTGTTTTATTTCTTACATTTAAAAATATTAATCTGAGGAGGGGTCTATACACTTTACCACACTGTTAAAGAAATCCAAAAGTTAAGAAGTAACTGAACTTCATCCTGCCCATCCATGAATGTTCATGAGGTGTTGACAGAGTGGTGTGGGTAGAAACTGAGGTGAACGACCTACCTTTGTCTCAAGTCAGTGTCCCCAACTCGTAGCTGATCCCCTGATACTCCAGGGTGAGGCTTACTCATCCTTGCTAAAATGAAAGAACTCCAGATGCCTTCTGGGGCACTGTCTGCTTCCCCACTCTAGCTTGCTGGTGCCAGCCAGCCATGCTTACTCATGTGGCTTGGGTCCAGGGTCAGGCATTTAGGTCTTTCATGGCTGTCTGGGCAAACCTGGGGGCTCTGAGAGTGGCTCTGTAGGGCTTCTCCCTGGCAATGGTGGAGATGCTGTAACTCTCCTATGAGTGCTTGAATCTGTGCCTTTAGGAGTACGTGTGTCTAAGGACCATAGTAAGACTTGGGCTCCCATACAAGATGTAGACTTCTACAAGATAATTCTTGCTAGCTTTTGTGATCACCTCCTGGAAGCTAGACAATGGTATTTGGGTGTTTATCTCTGGTGTTTACATCAGGTGTGTGATGTAGGCATTTGAATTAACTTTAGAGTTAATTCAAGTCACATAGCTAGGTGGTAGCAAAATAGGGTTTCAAACCACAGAATCCACAGCCCATGTTCTTCCCACTATTTTATGCTGCTTGCTAGTGTTGTTCAGATGCTGAGCTCTGGAGATCGGGCAGAGAATGTATTGGGGAGTATTCCCAAAAATGTGTGCTCTAACTACAGACTGCCTATAGGAATGCCATAGACTGTGTTGGGCTCCAGAAGGGCCTCCCTGGGTATGTGGGTCTGTATATTCCTTCCAGCTCCTCATCCGGTTTAGAATGACCAGCATAGGGCAGCCTCCCGCAAACCCACACCATCAGCCCCAGAACTGGTAGCCTCTTTCCCGAACTCATCCCAAATTCCAACTCTTTATACTGTGAAGGCTGATGAAGAATCCCGTGAGGTGAGAGATAAGCAGCTGCTGCTTGGAGTGTCTAGAGAATGACTGTGGCTTGCATCCTCATGACCATAGTGCTCATAACCCAGGATAAACCTGACCCCGGTTTTAAAAAGGGGAAATCCACATAGCACTTGTTCTCTCAAGAGTTGCCCTTTTGAGAGAGATATGCATACCTTGCTCATAATATGCCAGGTTTCAGAAGCCAGTCACCATGATGGTTTGATAAGAACTGGTATTGAGACATAAGTGACTATTGGGACTAAAAGTACAGTTAGGGCAGGAGTCAGACACCTCTGTTAGTCTTCCCAAGCCTTGAGAGTTGCTAATGAAATATAAAGTGTGCTCTGCTGCTGTGTGGAGATCAGCCCTACAGCATACTTCTCTTGGTGTTCATTGAAAGGGACCTTCTTATATGCCCCAACAGCATTTACTCTATAATCTTATCTTTATCACACTACCTATTCTGAGCAGATTTTAATAACACAGTAGTTCTAACATGGGATATACACAAAATAAGGGACAGAAAAATTTGAGCTAGTTTCTTCCAAGAGTGTTTAAGCAGTCAACATGTAATGCATGACTTTTTTGTCTGTCTCCGCTCTCCTGGCTTTTGTTTTCTCAAATGTGTATTTTAAGGCAGATCCTGCATATATGAAGTTGTTCTCATTAAGTCAGGGAGTAGAGAAGTACTCTGAAGGGTAACATGAGGATCGTTTAATACTATAGGAGTGAACTGTGGGGCAGCTCCCTATGTGCACAATGGGCTCTCACGCATGCTGATGTGTGGCACCACAGCGACCATGTGTCATCAGTTCAAAAGCACCTTCTGTAGAGGAAGAAAGGCCCATATTCCTCGTACTCAAAGCGTTGGACCCACAGTGGTTGGAAGCCCTGAAGTGATGCCAGGATGGAGCCACCTGTCCACACGGCAGTGTCTCTTTCTGGCAACACGTTTACCTGGGGGGTGTCATTGGGACACATGCTGCTCAGTTCCTTCTGCAGACGGTCAGGGAAACCACTTAGCATAGTGCTGCCTCCGCAGAGCAGGATGTTCCCCATGAGGTCCCGTTTGAGGGCGATGTCGCACTTGTTAAGGCAGGACATCGTCTGAGTGTGGAGCCCCAGCTGCATGGATTTGATCAGAGAAGGCTTGAAAAACATCTCTGAGCAGAGGAACCTTTCCTGGCATAGATGTAGCTCCTGCCCATCTGGCAGAGTGTACAGGATTGTATGCTCAGTAGGTGGGAGTTTCTTCTCCTCAGTGGGGTCCAGGGCCACAAAGCAGCATTTCTTCTTGATGTCCTCCACAATGTCCATCTGGTCCTCTGTGAAGTGTTTCCCCAAACTGTTCATCAGGCCCATCAAGTAGGCTGTCAGGTCAGATCCCGCATAGTCCAGCCGTCCGGTGATGCTGGGCAAAGGATAGCCCTCGTAGATGGGGACTACATAGGACACGCCGTGGCCAACCTCCACCACCAGGCCAGAGGTCCGTCCGTAGGAGTACATGGACAGGCGGGACTGGTAGGCGATGTGCATTGCAGGAGTGCTAAAGGTTTCAAACAGCATTTCAGCATACTTCTCTCTGTTGGTGTATGGGCTCAGGGGTGGGTCTGAGACCAGCACTGCGTGCTCCTCTGGGGCGATCTTCATCTCGTGGTGGAAGAGATAGTCCCAGATATCCTGCACTGAATCCCAGTCCACGATGATGCCATGTCGCAGAGGATTAATTAGTTTGAGACGAACCCCTGGATTGACAAGCTCCTTCCCCACAAATGTCTCCTTGCGATTGTCCCCAGTTTTGGCGGTCTCCATGTACGGCTTGCCCACTGTTGATGAGATATTATGGGTAGGCTTTGGGAGCCCCGCAAAGCCACATTTACAGTAGCCTGTGCCAATATCTACAACCACTGCTTTGGTTGCTGGCTTGGACAGCGCCCTGACAACTGTTGACTCAGTAGGTTCTTGTGGCCCTGAGGGGCTGCGGCGGACCCACACGGCCTGCTTAGCTGGGCCATCCTGTAAGGAGGCAGTCTGGAGGCCCTGTGTCTGCAGGGAGGCCTGTCCACCCACTCTCTCGGCAGGCTCCTCCCCTGTGGTCACCACCTGTGGGGCCCCCATGCCGTCAAGAGCCATCCTGCCCTTGGGAAGATCCTTGGTCCCACCAGCTCCAGGGCTTGAGAGGCTTAAATCAGAGGGCAGCTTGAGAATTTACCCAATGATGACATCACTGATTATGACATAAACCTGTGACCTGGGGCTTTCTGGATACTGGGAGCCTTTGTCCCATGTTAGGGTAGATTTGGGGTAGTGTTTGGAGGTGACAACGTTTTTCTAAATTTTGTAATAAACCTGATTTGTCTAATCAAATAATACTTACTGAGTGCTTGCTATGTGTAAGGCAGTTGGGAATACAAGGCAGCAGTGGGAAAAACCAACAACAAAAATCTGTGCCCCTGTAGAGTTTACTTTCTAGTCAGCAGGGTCTGGGGAGAGACTGACGATAACCAACATAAATATATGTTAGGAGATGTTAAGGGCAAAAGAGTAAAAGCAGGGCTGCTGCTGTCGTGACTGTGCCAAGCACTTCTGTCTTGTCCTTAGGACAACCTGCAGAGCAATTACTTTTGGACACATATTTACTACACTCCTTTGTCCAGTTGTTGGGTCAGCAATAAAATATTAGACCCTGTAGAGTCCCAGTGATGCCTACCTCATCCAAGGATATCCAGCCAGCTGTGGCCAAGTTCCTGACTACAGTTCTTCCCAGGGGTGTGCTGTGGGCACACTTTAATGGGACCTGACATGTCTCTGAGGCTGCTTGGCCACCACTTCAGGCTGGGCATGTTGCTAGCACCTGCTATCCTCAGGCACCCAGAATCCAACCTTATGTTATCAGCCCTGTGCTCTTTATACAAGTGGTGGGCCCTATAGTGGTGGGGTTTCTCCTCTAAGGAGGTTGTGGGGGTGCTCTTGGCTCCTTGTAAGGTATGAAAGAAGAAGAAGAGGGCTGAGTCCAGTTTCAAGGGCCTTGTGACTGCCTGATGTGCGCTGCCAAGTTGTCATCTCAAAAACAAAATCTCAGGTTCTTGATTCAATGGGTAGAGGATGAAGTGGCGTTGAATTCTGAAAGCATAGGAAAGTACTTTTCTTTATGTGTGGCTGCCTGAAAAATAATTGCCTCTGCTGTTCCTGGTGTTTGCGTGGCTGACTTGGATTGTTTATTTCAGAAGAACTTATATGATAAACAAGGGCACATTTAATTTAGGATCATCTGTTTTCCTTCTCCTCAACTCTCCTCATGAATTCTGAGAAATCTGCAGCTGCTTAGCTCATTTTCACTGCCCTGGATTCCTGTAAAAGCATGTATGTATTAGTTCCTTATTGCTGCTGTAACAAATTACCACAAATGTAAGGGCTTAAAACATGAAAAGTTACTATATCACAATTCTGGAGGCCAGAAGTCCACAGTCAGTCTTACTGGGTGAAAAATCAGTGTGTCACAGGGCTGCGTTCCTCCTGGAGACTCTAGGGGAGAAACTTCGCCTTTCCCAGTTCCCAGAAGCCACATACATTCCTTGACTTATGACCGCTTCCTCCATCTTCAAAGATCTCTCCAACTTCTGCTTCCATTGTTACGTTTCCTTGTCAGACTTTGATCCTCCTGTCTGCCTTTTATTAAGACCCTGTGATTACTTTGGGTGCACCCAGATAATCTAGGATAATCTCCTTATCACAAACAACAACTCATATCTATAAAGTCCCTTTTGCCATGAAAAGTAACATTCTCAGGTTCCAGGGATTAAGATGGGGACATTTTGCGGGGCCATTAGTCACTCTCACTTGACTTGTGCATCCCACTTCATTAAGACCCTCAAAGCCTGACATCCTGTTTCACATTCTCCTCCCCAAGTGCCATGCTGTCCCATCCCAGCCCTGTCCATCGTGGAGGCTGGGAGAGGTACTGTGCTAAAGGCCGACCACTCCATCTGGTCTGGAAGACCCACAGGTACAGGGATTCTCAGGATCCACCCCACATCCTTTAGGCTAAAACCAGCGGCTACTTTGCAGTCCTTTACTTCACCTCTCAGGATTTCACATGCTTGGATGTTCTCCTGTCATGGAAACTTTTTCCCTTAGCTTCCATATTACCCGTTGTGTCTCTTCTCTCCTCTCTGGGTCATCACACCTGGTTGTATCATTGATGGTAGACTATAGAGACTGTTGGCAGGCATACTGCACCCCAAACCTCCACTTCCTGGCACATGCAACCCCCCACACTTGTCACTAGCCATCTCCACTTTATGTGGCCTTGTTGGGGTCTCTGGTGAGGTCCCTCTGGACAGAGATACCCTATACTGCTCAAAAACCGTTTTTGGCTGCATTTTCTCATGGGATCACACCTTCCTCTTCTCTGGCCCAAGACAAAAAATCATGGGATGATCCTTCTTGAAAGTAACCCTGAGGCCCTTTGATTGTTGAAAAAGAAAACTGGAAAGATTAGACCAAGAAACACGTTTCTCCCCAGTTGGCATCTTTGCTTTTAGCTTTGATTTTTGGGATAGCACCCACCCTTGACCTTTGGAAGAAAGGTGAACCAGGCCCTGTAGTGTCAGCAGCTGTGGAAGTGAAGAAAGCAAATCTAGTAAAGGCCAATGTATAGTGTTTCCTCTCATAAATCACCTGGAGTTGTTCTTGAAAATGCAGATTCCTGGATCCCACCTGAGACTTACTAAATCTGAATATTTTGAACCTAGGACTGTTTAGGCCTAGTAATTCGCCTCTTCAGTATGGTGACGTTCAGGAGCCCCTGAATCAGGAACTCCAGCCAAAAAAAATATGGTTTCTTGTCAAACAAACAGATACTGCGAGCCTCTTTCCCAAAGCTCAGCCCCCAGTGTGGTGACCCAGGTACTAAGACTGCCTGTTTTCCCTCAGAAGGTGGAGGTAACTCTACTGAGGGCTCAAATCTGGCTCCAGATCATTTCTTTTTCCTGAGCTCCATATGCCACACCTAGGAGCTTCTAGGCATCTTTAGCTCAACATGCCCAAAATGAACTCTTATCTTCCATTATGCAATTGCTCCTGTCTCTGCATTCTCTGTTTTTACATGAGGGGGCCCACCATCCGCCTAGTTGCTCAAGACAGAAACCTGGAAGCAGTGGATGAGAATCAAATTGAGGGGGGATATTGCACTATCATAATCAGATTCAACTAACATTTTGAGTAGTTTGCCAAAGGTCACACAGTTTATAGTAATGAAGCTAGATTTGAACTCAGGTCTTCTGAGACCAGTTCCTTACTCTTCTTCCTACTGTGCACTGTCTTTCCATAAGGAATGGAAGAAGAGTAGTCTCGGGGATCCATGAGCATTGCCTTTAAACAGCCCACGGGTTGTCCCATGGAAGATCAGCTTGCCCTGCACAACCTCAGAAGTAGACCCAAGACCAATTAATGGCTTCTTTAAAGAGGTACAGATGTCAGTCCAATGCGAGGGCAAGTGTGTTTACTTAGTCGTCCCTACCAGATCAAGTGTCCAGTCCTCAGGTTCTCTGATTTTGTGACATCACCAGTGGAGCTTGTTGATGCTCATAACTAGAATCCTTATAAAATTGTTTCCCAAATCATCTGGTTTCGTAGTGCCCTGATCCAAGCAACAGTTTGGCAAACAAAAATTCCCATGAGTTCTTCATTAACATTCTTACATGCTCCCTGGCATTTCTTAATCATGTCTTAAAATCGTGTTTTTTCTTTCCTATTCTTGTCACCTAATCCCTCAACTGCTTCTCTTCTTAATTCTCCCTGGTTATTTGTCTTCCCCTTTTTCTCCCATAGCTTTACCATCAATGCCCTAATCTGCTTTGTTTTGGACTTTTTGTTTTTCCTTTTGAAGGGGATATGGTTTGGAATGGAGGGCCCTATGGGAACCTAATAAATTTATCTGTTCTAGATGACAGGCCATCTTTCTTTGCTTGGGCAAAGGTTAAGAGACTCAGCCCTCTCTCTCACTCCCCACAGGTAATCTAAGGGACCGATGTAACTGTGGTGCTTGAGACTAGAAACGGAGGAGCCGGGGGAGGGCCCCACATGCGAGAGGAAGGGCTTGGATTGAACTGAGCATAGTTGGGGAACCAACCAGTTAGACTGAGTGTTGCCTTCTGAACTTCTCTAGAACCTGTCCCTTCATCTCTTCCCCATTATCCCATCTCCAGTTTAGGCCATTTCAAGTATTAGAAGAATTTCTTCAGTGGCTTCCTTCCCGATCTCTTAGTCTTGCCCCTCTACATTATAGCCAAACACAAATATGTGTGAAATTTTCCTAGAAGCCAAATCTGACCACTCCCCTGCTTAACGTCTTCATTAGTTCCCTCTGTTTAATGCAAGCTCTATTAGCATTTGAGGCCCCCCTCGTAGGCTCTATGACCTCTCCAGCCTCATCTGTTTCCCTGAACACCTACCCTGCTGCCTGGCGCTGAGCCTGTGCTCAGGCCATGCTCTCTGCCTGGGGTGCCTTTCCCTCCTCCAGCTATGTGACAAACACCCACGTCTTATTTTTCACTATTTGATTTAAACATCACCTCTTAGAGACCCTGCTGACTCCTCCATCCATTAAGCACTGCCGCCTTTGTGCACCTCTGTTCTCCCTACCATGTCCACCTGTAAACTCTATCCCATCCCCTCTTCCCACCTAGGCTGGGCACTGCTTGTGGCCTGGTTTCTACCATCCATCACTGCAGGCTGCACCAGGCTGGACGCACTACAAACCCCAGTACGTGGGGAATGAAGGGATGAAAGTACTGTCGGGGCCCTCACACACTTAAGGGGACCTGGTGTATTAGGGGTGGATGAATGAGGATTCAAGTTCAAACACTCCAGGGCTCTTTGCCCTTGGGCAAGTCATTTGAATTCTGAGCCTTGATTTCCTCAGCTGTGCCGGCTTCTGTGAAGTGACATCTGTGAATGGCCTGAGCTAAAGTGCCTGGCTCACCGTAGGGTGCAAATATCCTCCTCTCACCCAAGGAGCAGAGGAGGCCGAGGTGTTAGGTCAGTGAACAGGGGTTAGGAACGGGTCCGAAGGTGCAGGGAGCAGGAACCTCTGCGACCCCAGTGTGTGCTTGGCTTTCTGAAACTGTTGGACACCTGCTCTGTCTTGGAGCAAAGAAGAATTAGGCAGGTGGAGGCAGGGGTGACAGAACAAGGGCCCGGCAAAACCATGCCCTCCCTGGGCTGCCAGAATGGACCAGCCCCCATTGATATCACAATCCGCAGGGCACTGCTGCAAGTAGATCTTACTTCTCCCTGCGGAGCTCTAGATGTGGATGTGAGAGGTGAGCAGCGAAGGCAGATGGGGATGAGGGATAATCTGAGCCCTGTGCCCATGAGCATGACGCAGGATGACCCTGGAGAGTCAGGAACATTGCCAGGTCCTAATGCTGGCATTCAGGACACAGGATCAGCTGCTCAGCTGAAGCTGAAGCCCAGGAAGGTGTGCAAGATCAAGGCCCTTGTCATCGATCTGGGCTCCCAGTACTGTAAGTGTGGCTATGCTGGAGAGCCGAGGCCCACCTACTTCGTCTCCTCCACTGTGGGCAAGTGCTGCTCTGAGGCAGCTGACGCTCGTGGCACCTGCAGGGAGACCTACGTGGGCCACGAGCTGTTCCACGTGGAGGCGCCTCTGAAGCTGATTAACCCACTACAGCACGGCATCGTGGTGGACTGGGACTGTGTCCAGAACATCTGGGAGTACATCTTCCACACGGCCATGAAGATCCTTCCTGAGGAGCATGCTGTGCTGGTCTCCGACCCCCCACTCAGCCCCAGCAGCAACCGGGAGAAGTATGCGGAGCTCATATTTGAGACCTTTGGCATCCCTGCCATGCATGTGACATCCCAGTCGCTGCTCTCTGTCTACTCCTATGGCAAGACCTCAGGGCTGGTGGTGGAGAGCGGGCACGGAGTCTCACACGTCATGCCCATCTCGAAGGGCGACGTGCTGCCAGGCCTGACCAGCCGCGCCGACTATGCCGGGTGCGACCTCACCAACTACCTGCTGCAGCTGCTCAACGAGGCCGGCCACAAGTTCACAGACGATCACCTACACATCGTTGAGCACATCAAGAAGAAGTGCTGCTACTCGGCGCTCATGCCAGAGGAGGAGCGCGGCCTAGCCGTGGAGGAGCTGCGTGTGGACTACGAGCTGCCACATGGCAAGCTCATCACCATCAGCCAGGAGCGCTTCCAGTGCGCCGAGATGCTCTTCAAACCCACCCTGGTGGGCAGCAGCCAGCCCGGCCTCCCCGCGTTCACAGCTGCCTGCCTGGACCGCTGCCAGGAGGCGGGCTTCGAGGAGGAGATGGCTGCCAACATGCTGCTCTGTGGTGGCTGCACCATGCTGGACGGCTTCCCCGAGCGCTCCCAGAGGGAGCTGAGCCTCCTCTGCCCCGGGGACAGCCCTGCAGTGGTGGCTGTGCCTGAGAGGAAGACCTCCGTGTGGACCGGCGGCTCCATCCTGGCCTCACTGCAGGCCTTCCAGCAGCTCTGGGTCAGCAGGGAGGAGTTTGAGGAGCGGGGCAGCGCAGCCATCTACAGCAAGTGCTGAGTGGCGGTGCCCCAGCAGGCAAGGCCCCATGGGCAGGCGGCCACAGGCCACCTGAAACACATTTACAGGATTTCACATAAAATTGAATGCACACAGGCTCTCGTCTAGTGTGCATTTGTTGCTGTAGTGTGATAGCAGAAGGTGGTGGGGAGCTGGGTTTAGGAATATCAGCGCCTTTTGCTCTGCTGGGTCAGAAGTAGCAGGCAGGGGTTGGGGGGCCCTCACTGACCCCTCCCCCGCCGCCCCCTTCACAAGGGTGACATCATCTCAGAATCCAGAGTGTAGCTTCCCGTTCCATTAGCTCCTTGGAGTTCAAAACCCAATTCATCAAGACTCTCAGGTTGCTTGCTCCCCCGTAAACCAAAGGGGAAGCAGCTTCGATTAAGAGACTAGCTTGAGTCACATAGTTAAGTAGTGGGTGGGAGACTCGCAACCAGGTATCTGACTTCAAGGCTCCTGTTTCTGCCCCTGATAGTCACCTACCCCCAGCCTCACCACTGCTCGACTGCCTCAGGCTCCCTCCCTCACTGCTCTTACTGCCTGTGCTCATCAAAGGGGCAGCCCACGGGTGTGTGTGTCCTGAGGGTGAGGGGCCATTTCTGCCCATCAGTGGCCCCTCCTCTTGACCCCACCCCAAATCACAGCTGTTTTTGCAGAGTCACAAAGCAGAGCCCCTGAATTCAGAGGATGTTGGAGGAACCACAAGGCCCTTTAGAAATCATGTGGTTTTTTTCTCCCTCCCGTGGAGAAGGGGAAACAGAACCAGGAGGGAGGAGGCCGTGTCCGTGGGTGAGCCCAGCTCTCCTTCACCGGGTCATGATTATTTCCAGCAGGGCAAAAATGGTTGCTTTAGTTTGGGCTGCTATGACAAAATACCACAGAACAGGTGAATTGGAAATGACAGAAATGTGTTTCTTAGGATTCCAGAGGCTGGAAGTCCAAAATAGGATTTCAGCAGGTCGGGTTCTGATGAAGGCCCTCTTCTGGGTTGCAGACTGCCGACATCTTGCTGTGTTCTCACCTGGTGGAAGGGATGAGGGATATCTCCAGGGCCTCATACAAAGGCACTGGGCATCTCCCAATGGTCCCACCTAATACTGTTAGGTTGGGCATTAGCTTTTCAACAGATGAATTTGGGGAGGGGGTGCAGAGACAATCATTCAGTCCATTAAGCAATGGTTCCTAATGGTTAGCAACCCTGAAGCACTTACCAAGCATCTGCAATGGGTGAGGCCCAGAGCTGGATACCGAGAATGTCCAGAATGTGGCTCTTCCCTTAGGATCACACACAGCTAGTGGGGGATTCAGAGGAAAGCCATGTTGGTATGGAGACGAGGCTCAAGCCCCGTGTTCCTGGAAGTGAGAAGGTGCAGTTGTGTACTGGAAAGCTGAAGATGGAGAAGGGGTGGGTGTGGTGGCCCCTCGGTGGCTTTGGGGTTGAAGGAGAAGCTGTTGAGTCTTGGGGGATTTCAGCTGGTGAATGACTAGAAAAGGTGGTTCCTGCCTCTGTAACCCCTACCTCTTGATGGGGCACATGACCAGGTGTCAGTGAGATCCGACATTGGTGAGCTGTGTAATGTCCTGGGCTACCACATGTTCCCGAACCACCTCTTACCTTAGAGTCCTGACTTGGGGCACTCTGTAAGGCTGCCTCTGTCCTGGGCCCTGCAGACTTGGGAAGAGCCCGATTCAGCCTGTCACCTCATGCCTTGCCATCTAGTCCCTCTCCATTGCCCAGAATTCAGCTTCTAGCCTTGAGCTTGAGTCCTCCAGCAGGGCCTTGGTGCTGCGTAGGAACCTGGGCTCTTCCCTTTGGAGAGGGGTTGCAGACTGGAGCCCTGGAGGCTGATGGCGCCAGTAGACACATTTTGTTTGGCCAGCACAGTGTATAAAATTTTTTTTTGAATTTGAATTCTTTCAGTGGGACCCTCATTTTTCAGGTTGCCAAAGTCTCTACTAGTCTGGTGTCTTCATACATACCTGCTGCTTAGCCAGCATTCATTTCTACTGCTTGCAACCCAAGAATCCTTGAATAATAGGAACCCTAAGAACCTGATGAGATACAGAGATGAGACGCAGAGGGGAAGGTGAGGTGCTCAAAATCACACAGGCAGTAACCTAGTGTGGTCCTGAAGATCTCCAGAAATCATACCAGTGTCTACCCACCCCAGCTCTTCCTCACTCCACATCCTCAGCAACTTCTGTCTCCACAGTTCCAGCTTCCATGTCCTCAATACCTGGGTGTCTTCTCCAGAAGCATCCCTTGTGCAGCAGAGGCTGTAAAAGCACTAATCACTTCATCCCTGATGTGAATTTATTTAAGCCAACCAGAGGCACAACAGGAGAGTTAGTCTTGGCAGAAAAATGTGAGTCAGTGCCTTCAGCTTAAGAAGACGGACTGACCATGTGTGTGTAACCTCCTTTCCCTCCTAAGACTGCTATAAAGGGACAGTTTACTGAGTTCAGGTTCATGCCACCTGTTGTCCAACATGCCAATAAGTTGAGAGACAAGGTGGGGCAAGGAAAGCAACTTTATTCGGAAAGCCAGCAGAACAAGAAGATGGCAGACTAATGTCCTAAAGCACCATCATAACTTAGGGTTGTTTGCAAGGAAAGAATGTTAGGGAAAGGGGGAACAGGAAGAGGAGCAGGTTAGGAGTGACTGAAGGCTGCAGACACCTGGGCATCAGTGAGGGTCCTAGGAGAGCCCCTGTGTCCTTGGTTAGTGGGCTCTTGCCGACCCAGGGCTGGTCACCGTATTGCTAGAACTCCGACAAGGTAATCATTTTTCATACACGTTTCTCTGCCTCCTGGAGGAGGCGAGCTTTGGGGAAGGATCTATTTGCAGAAATCTCAAACTGTAAGCAAGATTCCTTTTGATTATCAGCAAGCCTATGGGCAGGGCTTGCTGATAACCAGCCTATGCAGAGCTGAGCAGAAGCCCTTTCTCTTTTTTTTTCTTCTTTGGCCCAAGTCAGCAAAGGAGATAAATACAGTATGAAGGCAGAGATCGACTTTTTCACTCCATTACAATAGTAGAAGAATATAGATGTATAATCCCACTACAAATGAGAAGATGGTAGGGAGAACGCAGAAGGCTAGAGATTTCTGATTCTGGAATTTGTGTACTGGAAAGCTGAAGATGGAGAAGGGGTGGGTGTGGTGGCCCCTCGGTGGCTTTGGGGTTGAAGGAGAAGCTGTTGAGTCTTGGGGGATTTCAGCTGGTGAATGACTAGAAAAGGTGGTTCCTGCCTCTGTAACCCCTACTTCTTGATGGGGCACATGACCAGGTGTCAGTGAGATCCGACATTGGTGAGCTGTGTAATGTCCTGGGCTACCACATGTTCCCGAACCACCTCTTACCTTAGAGTCCTGACTTGGGGCACTCTGTAAGGCTGCCTCTGTCCTGGGCCCTGCAGACTTGGGAAGAGCCCGATTCAGCCTGTCACCTCATGCCTTGCCATCTAGTCCCTCTCCATTGCCCAGAATTCAGCTTCTAGCCTTGAGCTTGAGTCCTCCAGCAGGGCCTTGGTGCTGCGTAGGAACCTGGGCTCTTCCCTTTGGAGAGGGGTTGCAGACTGGAGCCCTGGAGGCTGATGGCGCCAGTAGACACATTTTGTTTGGCCAGCACAGTGTATAAAATTTTTTTTTGAATTTGAATTCTTTCAGTGGGACCCTCATTTTTCAGGTTGCCAAAGTCTCTACTAGTCTGGTGTCTTCATACATACCTGCTGCTTAGCCAGCATTCATTTCTACTGCTTGCAACCCAAGAATCCTTGAATAATAGGAACCCTAAGAACCTGATGAGATACAGAGATGAGACGCAGAGGGGAAGGTGAGGTGCTCAAAATCACACAGGCAGTAACCTAGTGTGGTCCTGAAGATCTCCAGAAATCATACCAGTGTCTACCCACCCCAGCTCTTCCTCACTCCACATCCTCAGCAACTTCTGTCTCCACAGTTCCAGCTTCCATGTCCTCAATACCTGGGTGTCTTCTCCAGAAGCATCCCTTGTGCAGCAGAGGCTGTAAAAGCACTAATCACTTCATCCCTGATGTGAATTTATTTAAGCCAACCAGAGGCACAACAGGAGAGTTAGTCTTGGCAGAAAAATGTGAGTCAGTGCCTTCAGCTTAAGAAGACGGACTGACCATGTGTGTGTAACCTCCTTTCCCTCCTAAGACTGCTATAAAGGGACAGTTTACTGAGTTCAGGTTCATGCCACCTGTTGTCCAACATGCCAATAAGTTGAGAGACAAGGTGGGGCAAGGAAAGCAACTTTATTCGGAAAGCCAGCAGAACAAGAAGATGGCAGACTAATGTCCTAAAGCACCATCATAACTTAGGGTTGTTTGCAAGGAAAGAATGTTAGGGAAAGGGGGAACAGGAAGAGGAGCAGGTTAGGAGTGACTGAAGGCTGCAGACACCTGGGCATCAGTGAGGGTCCTAGGAGAGCCCCTGTGTCCTTGGTTAGTGGGCTCTTGCCGACCCAGGGCTGGTCACCGTATTGCTAGAACTCCGACAAGGTAATCATTTTTCATACACGTTTCTCTGCCTCCTGGAGGAGGCGAGCTTTGGGGAAGGATCTATTTGCAGAAATCTCAAACTGTAAGCAAGATTCCTTTTGATTATCAGCAAGCCTATGGGCAGGGCTTGCTGATAATTAGCCTATGCAGAGCTGAGCAGAAGCCCTTTCTCTTTTTTTTTCTTCTTTGGCCCAAGTCAGCAAAGGAGATAAATACAGTATGAAGGCAGAGATCGACTTTTTCACTCCATTACAATAGTAGAAGAATATAGATGTATAATCCCACTACAAATGAGAAGATGGTAGGGAGAACGCAGAAGGCTAGAGATTTCTGATTCTGGAAGGAAAGTGGACGCAGGGCAGAAAAGCTTCCAGCTGAAGCCTGCAGGGTGCTACCGGTAGAGGAGGCCGACTTCCTCTCCTGCAGAATGAGAAGAGGTTTTGGACTTGGAGATGCCCAAGAGGAGAGGACATG